CGTCGTCACGGTTGGAGCCCTTCGGGAGCTGCCCAGTGCCGAGGTTGCGGGCAATCCTGAGTAGAGGGTGCCAACCCCGGCGGCGGGTGCTCCCGCGCTAGCTGGGGGGGAAGGGCCAGTCTCGAACGGGCCCCTCGTTGCGTCCCTGGCATCTGGATCAGGAGTCCCAACCTCGTGGACGCTTGTCCGCGTACGGGTCATCCCCTCTGGGAGAACAGCGCTTGCCCTTCGCCTTCCAGTCTGTCTCGGTCCATGACGCACCTTGGTGCCCCCACGTGCCCCATGGCTGCCATCCACGCTGCGCCGAGGCTGAGCTAGATGCACGGGTCCACTGATCTGGCGGGACCGCACGCGCCGCCCCCTTGCCCGCTGTGGTCCAAGGGGGTGGGCGGCCACTGCTGTCGACCCCGCGAGGGGTGTTCGGTCTGGCGTCGCGTTGCAGGAGCCTGCGGTGTCGAGAATTCCATTGTCAAGAACTCCATTGTCAATTGCGCGGGGGGGGGAACACTGCGAACTCACTCTCTTGCGCATGCAAACAACCGACATGTGGGATGACACTCAGCGTTCTTTGTTCGTGATGCAACGCAGTCCCTACAAGGCCGCGCAAAGCAGTCCTCAATGACAAAATCTATATCACCGATTGTGTTGCCCACCGTTTCTAGAATGTTTTGATCCTGCTTCAGGCAGTATTTGCTATGCTGTGATTGTGTGAAGAAAAAGCCTGTCCAGGTCCGCAAACCAGTAAACATCTTCCTCTGCGCACCCGCTTGCCACTTGTGCTGCGACTTCTCACAATGACAAGTCTCTCTGCCCCTGCAATGCCGAAGCGATTTCTGTGAGGGCACTGTCATGCAAGTCATCGGAATCGGCGGCATGCGCAGGTTCCTCGTTCAATGTTGTTGCGACACGATCGCCCTCCAATCATCGCGTTGCAGCATGCAATGACTTGTTCGGGCCCTCGTCCTTCTCACCCCCCCCCCCTTCCCCCGCCCTCGAATCGGTCGGCTGGGGGGGGGGGGGGCAGGGCGGCGTCAGAGAGCATGTGGGGCCGTGCGAAATAGCACAGCGTGCGATTTGTGTTCTCCGTTCAAGTTCTTTGGGCTCAAGCGTTGATGAAGATCGCGCTGGAGCGGAGCCCCGTCGATTCGCCAGCCTCTCCCCGCGCGGGCAGCGCGATGTATTCTGCTGGCTCATCGTGGGAGCTGGTGGGTTCCGAGAGCGAGGGTAGCTCCTCTTGTCTTGCTGGGCAGGCTCCGAGCCTGCCAGAGGGCGGGGGGGAGACCTTCGCGACGGTGCGCTGGGGCGGTGCCCTCCTCGTGCTCTTGTTGACTCTGCTGGCGGTTGTGCGCGACCTGCCCAGCGGAGACTCGGAGTTCGATTGCGAGGGGGACTATCCGCTGGAGGCTGGGATGCCTATAGAGATATGGAGTCGACGCTACCTGCGTCGAGGTGCCACCGATGGTGTGGAGGTGTTCCTCGTGCGGAGGAAGTCGGGGAACTGCTGGGTGCTGCTCTTGCCCGATCTCAGCATGGGGACGATTGCGATCACGGCCAAGTCTACAGTGTTCAACGACCCGCTGTCAGGAGTTCGATGGCGCGCGACGCCCGCTTTGTCTCAGATGCAGCGGGACAGTTTCATGGCGCAGGGTGCCGACGGTTTGAAGACGGGGACCATTCCCTCACTGGAGCTCTGCAGGCCGGGCAGTCAGGCGGCTCAGTGGGCGGTGGCTATCAACCTGGCCGCCGCGGTGCTAGGGTCGGCTCGGTCCTCGTTTCTCACGTTGCGGTGGGGGCTGGTTCTGTGCTTCGTGCTGTGGGAGGCCCTGAAGTACCTTGGTGTGATCGAGCTGATTGGGACGATGGTGCTCGCCGTCTGGGGCTGGATGGTGGCGTTCAAGGACGCGTTCGTGGAGTCTCCGGAGACCGTGCGAGAGTGGGTGGTCTACTCGGGCGAGTGGATGGAGTGGGCACGCAAGCTGATGCCATTGCGTCGGTGGGCTGCTCTCGTCCTCGCTCTGGGTCTGCTGATGGCATGGGGAGTGCGCGAGATGCAAGACACGGGCGAGCCATGTCGATCGTCGGTTGCCTCGTCTTCTGCCTCTTCGGTCGTCGGAGATCCTCCCCCCGTTCTCGCCGTGCCGCCACCTGGTGTTCCCGTGGCCTACCCGCTTGGTTGGGATCCTCAGCGGCTGGCTTCTCAAGTCAGCGACTTGGCGGCTTCGCATTCGCATCAGGCCATGATGGAGGAGATCAACGAGATGCGGACGGCCGGGCGCGCCCGAGAGCTGCGTCGAGGTGTGCAGCGGAGGCCAACCAGCAGGTGATCGAGGGCATGATGGCTCGCATGGATCAGTTCGAGCCTTGGCTTCGTGGAGATGCTCTGCCCGATGGGAGCTTCGGCGAGCAGGTGGGGCACATCGAGGCGGTGGCCCCGTCCTCGTCGGCTGCGGGTACGGCGGGTTCACCTACGAAGACTACGTCGCCGTCGGTGCTGGAAACGCCGGAGAAGTGGACGGCGGCGGGCTCGCCGGAGACCGTGGAGCTGGCCATCAAGAGGATGAAGTTCAAGGCTCAGGTGCCGCAGCAGGCTTCCTTGGGGCAGCCGGAGGAGCACAAGGGGGCCCCGGTGAAGGAGTGGGGCAGCTACATGACCGAAGGCTATCGGCAGAGGATCTCGGCCGAAGTGCTGTCCGAGATCTACGCTTCGGGGAAGACGGCGGAGGCCTGGGCGCGAGACCTCATCCGAGATCGAGGGCTGTCCGACTGCCGCACGGCCCGGGAGATGATCGCAGCCTTCGCGGCCGTGGACACGATGCTGATGACGGATCACCAGAAGGGTCTTCTCAACTTGGCGAGTTCTGGGCGGTTGGTGCGCAAGGGTTATGCCATTGTAAGGGCTTGCCGCAACGCGAACTGCCTGGGCGACTGGAGCCGCCCGAAGGACGCCAAGGGCTGGGAGGGCTGGGAGTCCAAGGTCGACTGGGAGGCGGCTCGCAGGTTGGATCCCCAGTTGGCGGACGAGAGCACGATTCGAGTGACGACTGCCGAGGAGGAGATTAAGTAATCCATGAGTCGGGACTCCGGGCGCGCAGCTGGTCAAGGCTCGCAGCGACCTGGGCGGAAAAGCGGCAGCAGCGCCGTGACGCCTAAGGAACTTCGACTTGGGCTGCTCGACGTGTTGTCAGGCGGCTCGTGCAGCGGGGGCGGGCGTCGTCTTCCGCCTCTGCATATTTTGGCTATCGTATGCTTTTTTTTTTTTCTGCTGCTGACGTGCGTGATCCTCGTCGGTGGCCACGTGAGCTCGCGCGCGCCGAATTAGGTTTTCGAAGTCTCGGCGGCGGGGCTTCCTGTCCGAGGGGGTGCTGTTCCAGCGTCCGGAGCTCTTCGGGACCTCTCGCGGCGTGGGCTGGAGGAGGTTCGTCGCCCACGACCGCCGCTGACGACGCCCTGCCAAGGGGCCGCGATCCTGCGGCTGCGCCCTGCCGCTGCCGCGGCGGGCAACCAGTCCCGGTCGACCTCCCAGGAGAGGTTGGCCTAACTTCAGAGGAGGAGTGCTGGTGGAGGTGCGCGGCTGCCAGACGGGGGCGATGCGTTTCCCGCCCAGTGGGGGCGAGTCGCTCTACCTCCCCCGGGGACCAGACCTGTGAATGTGAGGAGAGTGTGGCCTCGAGCGGCACAGTAGTTGGAGAAGATCCAGGAGGTGATGTTGTGAGAGGATGGCGACGCATGAGGTGAGCAACGACGTGGACCCGCACATTCGGCAGAAGAAGGAGATGCGGCAGCTTGCTGGGAGGATGGCCTCGGCGGGGATACTCTGCCGAATCGTCGAGATGACGGACGAGGTCGGGTCCTTTGGCGTGGTAAAGAAGGCCGAGATGGAAGGGGGCGAGCCCGAGGTCACGCTCTGCTGGGTGTTCGACAAGAGGCGCTCCAACACTCGGTGGCGGTCGCCATCGTGATGTGCCATGGGTGGAGGGAGTGTCGCGTCGCTCCTGGAAGTGTTGGACAAGACGAAGGAGGACGGGGTGAACATCCGTTTCGGCACGGGAGACTTACCCGACTTCGACTACACGAGGGAGCTGGGGGAGGAGCTAGTGCCCTACTTCGTGCCGCCGGGTGTCGGTGGAGACGAGCTGGACGCGCTCCTCCCGGAGATCGCCTTGCTTCCGAGGAGGGGGTCCTACGTCGGGGTGATGGTGGTGATGCTGGACCTTTCATGGGCATGCTGGGCGGCTTAGACGACCACGGGGGACATCTTCAATGCCGCCCCTCAGGTGGGTTCGAGCCCCTTGTCGGTAGGCCTGCGGCCAGCCGAGGGAAGTCATCCCTCTCACCTCAGTCGGGAGCTGCCCGCGGCGCGCTACGAGGGCATGGACGACTTCGGGATTATCGGATTCGACTTGGCCGCGGGGCTGGACCAGGTGGAGGTGGCGATGGCGGAAGACATCTTGCGGGGGCCCAGGGCGCGGGCGGTGGCTGCCAGCTTCCACGTGTACCAGGAGGCGTGCTCGGAGGCTATCCGCATGATCAGGGGCGAGTTCAATGGCACTCTGCCGGCCCCGAATCAGGGCCAGATGTGGTGAGCTGCGCTCGGTATCCAGGAGATCCTGATCAGCAGATGGGAGCTGCCCGACTCGACTGCGCGAATCGTTCGCATTCCGTCCTGGGGCCTCTTGATCCACCGGGGCGCGCTGAGCATCTCCTCGGAGGTCTACGCCTGACGCGTGGAGTCCCGTGGTGGAGCTCGGGTCCAAGTGTCGCCGAAAAGGTTGAGGGAGCGGGCGGCGTCGGTCGCCATCATGCTCTTGGCTTCGGTCGACTTGGCTACGCCCTGATACCACACAGCGATGATGTTCGATGCCAGTCGGCACGGAGGCTCCATCGTCTTCACAGGGGTCGCAGTGGAGGAGCAGCGTCGGGGAGGCCGCCGCGTCGCACGAGGTGGCGGGACAGTCTGGACTAGCCTTTCATCGTCGTGATCCCCAGACTCGTGGTGCGAGGGCGACGCCTTCAAGCTCGTGGGCGACGAGGTGGAGCTGGGCTCTCGCGCGCGGGCACCTCCCGTGCAAGTGTGCTGGGGCGACATCACCAGATGGAAGGAGGTCGTGCTCGGGCGCTGGAAGGAGCAGGAGCACATCAACCTGCGCGAAGTGCGGACGGGCGTGGCCGCAGCGAGGCACCTCGCCCGCAGTCGCTCAAACTGGGGGAGGAGGCACATGGTGATCACCGACTCCATGGTCTACCTCGGCGGCTTCGGCCAGGGCAAGTACGTCATTCGGCCGATCATGTTTCTCTGCAGGAGACTGTCCGCCCTCGACATCGGGAGCGGCAGGTGCGAGTCTTGGCGCCGGGTACCTTCGGATCGGAGCTACAGCGACGGTCCGAGCCGAGAGCCCCCGATCGGACAGGCCCCCGAGGAGTGGCGGACGGATGAGCAGGTGTTGCCGGAGAAGGTAGCCTGGATGATCGAGGCCCTCGCGAGGTGGCGCAGATCGACCCACTCCAGCCGCTCGGAACGGGAGGATCAGCGTCCGCGGGGGTTTTGCGCTTCATGCATCTCCGCGGTGGACGCGCTCGTGCCGGGGATTTGGAGGACTGGCTGCTCGGGATCGCGGCAGCGAGGGGCTACCTGCTGATCTGCCACAATGTGGACGTCGGCTTCGGGGCGGAGTTCGACCTGACGGACGAGGTCAACATGGGCGCCATGCGAGCCATGCAGGAGCGACAGGAGGTCGACCTCACCGAGAAGGTCGTGGAGCAGCTGATCGCGGAGACCTTGGGGCGCAAGCCCCGGGACGAGTCGCCGCGGGAGGTCCTGCCATCGGCGTTCGTCGAGGCGCCGGGTGGAGCGGGCGAGCCACCTCTATGACCGCAGGAGTTCTCCGAGAGAGCGTTGGCACAGGGAGGAGCTGTTCGGGTTCAAGTGCCACGTGGAGACGGGCCCCGTCGTCGACCTGGATGCGGGTCCAGTTGCGTGCGCTTCTTCCGACGACATTGACTGCTGTGGCAGAGAAGCGACTTCGGCAGCGCGCTCCGCGCCGCAAGATGGGCCACGCGCATCTCAGGAACTACGCGGAGCGCTCTTACGACTTGGGCAGGTCTACTCCGAAGGGGGACATGCACGGGCTGACTATGATGCCAATTTCCGTCTTCACAAAGACGGTGTTGGGATGCTCCACGCCGAACGTCCGCCGCTTCCCGGAGTCCGCTCGGAAGCTGAACTTTCCCATGAGGAGACGAGAGGAGATCGACGACTCGGTCGAAGACGAGGAGGTGGGCCCCCGCCGGGGAGACCTAAGGGTGCACGGGCTGGCCTACGCGTGGACGGAACTGTCGACGGGCCGGCCTAGATCCCATCGCGCTCTCCGAGCGGGGCATCGTCTGCATGTGGTAGGTGAGGACGGACTTCAGCCGCTAGAGTGGCGGGCGGCAATGGTGGACGAAGCCATGGGGCTGGCCGGCAGCAGCAAGGCCGCCAACGCTGCGGAGCTTGCCCTCGACGCCTACCTCAGGTCGGCTGAGCGGTTCGGCCCTCGCGCGCCCAACATCGCGATCGACGTGGGCGGGGGGGGGGCAAGCAGGTAGTGACGATCGACCTAGGAGTCGCTGAGCGCGGAGAGAGGGCGAGGACGAGCAGGAGGCAGGGCGCGCCCATCGACAGTGAGCAGTCTGGAGGAACGGGGAGAGGGCGCGGTCTGACCAGGTGGTCAGCTGCTCGGTGGCCGCCCACCGCTGCGCTCGGCGGCGCGCCTGTGACTGCGTCGACATGGCCAGCGGCCCTCCGCATGCGGCTCGGCACTCCGGCCCGAGCTACGACGCTGTGACGGGCTACCGGAGTGCGTGGGCCATCCAGCGGCGGCGCCGCTGGGCCTCCGAGAAGAGTGTGCTGCGCTACATGAAGGCCCGTGCCTTGGTGGCACCCCGCGCCTCTCTGGCGTCCGTGGAGCTGGAGCGAGGCGCGGAGCGGCTCAAGGAGTGACAGCACGTCGGGGGCGCAAGTGAGGCTTCCGAGTGCAAGGGAAGAGCCGCCCGACGCGCCGCTGTGCGGGATGTCAGCGAGGACAGCGCGTCGGGGGCACAAGTGGTGTTTCCGGGCGAAATATACCGGAAGAGCCACCCGACGCGCTGCTGTGAATGAACCGGTTAATGTTTGTGATGAGTCCCTGGACGTGAAGTTAGTTTTTTGGAGGCGGCTGGCGCGGCGTGCGTCTGGCCCGCCCACCCTGGCCCCGCGCGCCCCATCGTCCAGGCGCCGTTGCCAGACAGGCGGTGGAGTGGGACAAAAATTTCGGCGGCTCACCCGCGACCTCGGGGTGGCCGCCGCCGTCGAATCTAGCTGCCGCCTCGGCGGCGTCGAGCTCACGCGTCAGGAAAATGATATGATTTATTCCAGCTGGCTGGCGCTGCGTCTCCGCCGCCCTGTGTTTTTGTGAGATTGTGGGCGGGGGCCTCTGAATGTGCGCTGTAGCGTGCAATGACTTTTCGGGGTCTCGCCCCTCTCGCCCCCCCCTTCCCCCGCCGTCGAATCGGTCGGCTGGGGGGGAGGGGGGGGCAGGGCGGCGTCAGAGAGCATGTGGGGCCGTGCGAAATAGCACAGCGTGCGATTTGTGTTCTCCGTTCAAGTCCCCCCCCCCTCCCGCCCCTTCTTTTCTTCTCTCCGCCCACTTGCCTCATCGCAGTTCTGTGGGCTCACCCGCGATCTCGGGGCGGCCGCCGCTGTCGAATCTAGCCGCCGCCTCGGCGGCGTCGAGCTCGCGCGTCAGGAAAATTATATGTTTTATTCCAGCTGGCTGGCGCCGCGTCTGCGCCTCCCTGTGTTTTGGTGAGATTGTGGGCGGGTGCCTCTAAATCTTGCTTTCCCCTTGAGCCACCCTTAGACCCCTCTTCGTTCGAACATGCGCCCCCGAGCTGTCCCCCGCAATGGCCCGTTTCAACTCTAGACCAACATTCCACTTTGCAAACTAGAAAGCACATGCACGCAAACAATCCATCTCTCTAAACGAGGCGTCGGACGAATGTGCGCGGCGGTGGTGTCTTTTCTGATGCCGAGGAGTAATGCTGACTGTGCGTGGTAGCGCTTCGACGAAGCTGATCACCCTGCACCGTTTCCCCAAAAATGGCAAATCGCACGCAAACCATACAGCGGCGCACCGGAATAATGGAAAAGGAAACACCGAGCAATTGCAATCCCAACTCAATGCAAGTGTCTCCTCCCTCTGCTCTCTCCACTGCTCTGCTTTGATACGGAGCTGCTGTAATATCGGATGCGTGGCCACGGTGTCCCCTGCCCCTGCCTCGCGAACGGCTTGCCCCCCAGCCCCTCTGCCCTGCGGGGCCCGTGGGCACGGGGCGCAACGCTACTTTGGGTGCGATCCTGCAATCCTTTCGGCTGGGCGGCAGGTTTCGACGCCTTCAAGCGGCAGCCTAGGAGGAGGAGGAGGAGGAGGAGGAGGAGGAGGAGGAGGAAGAAGAGGAGGAGGAGGAGGAGGGGGAGGACGAGGAGGAGGAGGAGGAGGAGGAGGAGGCGCGCACGTCGAGCTGAGGAAGGCGCTCGTCTCTTGCCATCAGCGCCCGCGCGGCCCCGCGCCGCCTACGAGGCGCGGATGGGGGCCCCAGGGCGCGGAGGGGCACGGCGACAGCCGCGGCGCTCTCGTTGTAAATTTTCGTCAGGAGAAAGGGCAATCTGATCTCATTGGCGGAGTTCGAGTGGTCCTCGTCGTCGGGGTGGATCCCCGTGTAGTGGAATGCGCTGGTCTGCAGCCCCATGTTCTCGCACTGCACCCGCAGGTAGATGCGCGTCCTGCAGGCGACCGCGAGACGCGCGATCGCGCGGTCGACGCGGTCGTCTCCAAAATTGTTGCCGTTGAGCGCCATGCGCGCCAGGGTGGAACCTGAGACCTGGCCTCTCGGCAAGCGCAGATGTGACCACATCCTCGGACAGGTCACGTAGTGGCTGGCGTCGCCGATGCGATGGGCACTCTCTTTCAGCGAGCACCCGAACAGGCTGGAGAGCTTAGCGGGGCGCACGTGCATGCGGTGGCTTGCGGCACAGGCGCCCGCCGACGTCTTGAGGGTTGGCCGCGGCAACGATGGTGGGGATCGGGCAAGATGACCGCGAAACACAGGCCACCCCGCAGCCAGCGACTCCGGCCATTCGGCTGGACCGAGGAGTTCGCGACGAAGGACATGAACTTGGTCCCGCGCGCATCCCCGGGAAGCCAGCGGCCCCCATCACGAGCGGGACTTTCACGTTCGAGCCAACGTCTGCGAGCTCGGTGTTCCGCGGCTTCTTCTTCGCGATCGCGCTGCGCAGCGGCTGGCGGTTGTGGATCTGACTAGGCATGCAGGCGGCGAGCGCGCGGACACTCCGACCGCTGCCACGCAGATTCGCATCTGTCCACCGCCATGTCACGGCGTTCAGGTTGCCGATGTAGTCGCCAATGCAGGAGTTGGCGTTGAATTGCGGTCTGCGCAGAACTGCCGTCACGTACGGGGCGCACCATTCCATCCAGCCGTTGTAGTTGTGATAACCAGCGCCCGCGAAGATAGATGGGATCTAACTCCCCACCCAAGCAGCAGAGCGCTCGTGCAGGTAGCTCATGGAATTCGCGCTGGCGTCGGCGGTGCTGGAAGTTACTGGAAGTTGGGTGGGTACAGCAGGAGGCGGCATCTGTAGCTCTCGGGGCTGGGGTCTACGCTGAGGAGGTCGAGGAGGCGGGCGTCCAAGAATCGGATGCCATGCTTGGAAACGCTTCAAGATGGCATTGTGGAAGTCGTCGCGGTAAAGGACACGTGCGATTTCCCGTCGAAGCGCTTGCTGCGGTGACGAACGCAACTTCCAGCGTCTGTCTTCGCCCTCTTGGGCATGCGCGGCCCTGCCACGACCACGATGCATAATGGCCGTGCGACCAGCGTTGGCAGCTCGATGATGCGCTGCTGAGAGAGAAGCCGTAGCGCGGGACACTGGTCCGAGCGAGCGCACGAAGGTCTTGCGCATGGAACCCGTGCCCCCGGGGGACAGGTTGCCCTTGGTTATGAGGTCGAACCGCTGGGGGATCGAGATCTCGCCGAGCCAGCAATCAGCGCGCCACGCACCGTCCAGGACCTGTGCCGGCGGAAGTCGATATTCAGCACGTGCTCGATGTTATGGTAGAAGAGGAGCCCAGCCAGTGAATGTCTTCGTCGCTGCGCGCCACGTTGTTGACGCAAGATGCGTTTCATACCCCTGTGGAGCCTCAGCGCCAGCCCATCTGCTGAAGGAGAAGGTGTCCATCTTGGTGAAACTGGACGGCGCTGTGCACAGCAGCTCGTGGACGCGAATGCGTTGCGGGTGGGTTGGTAGAGTTGGCTGGTGCACGAGAGACAGGAGACTGCAGCGACGTTGTACAGCTTGATGCTTTGTCGGGGAGGCGCTCTGGATTGACCAAGTATCTGGGGTCTCTCCCACCATTTGACAGCAGGGTTCTTCCATTGAAAGCCAAGCGTCGTGCCAGGGCCGAGGAACGCCCCCGTAACGGGCGTGGCTCTTGATCTTGAAGTCCTTCCAGGGGAGGTGGACGTTGGCTAGGATGGCCTGGCTGCGCGTGGTGAGGGATGGGATAGGGCGCGACCATGTGGGCACCAGGATGCACTTCTTAGCCTGCGGGTGGAGACCACCACATTGCTGCGCGGCTTGCGGATGCGGTAGAAGGCGTTCGACGTCGCGGAGCGCGGCAAGGATGATGCCAAGGTCGTCGGCGCAGGCGCTGATGAGACCGCGGCCAATGCGGTTCAGCTCGCACTTGGTGCCCGTGATGATGGGGTCGAAGATGAGCGCCCACAACGTGCCACTCAAAGGCCAGCCTTGGGCGACGCCAGCCCCGACGATGAGCAGCGGTCGCAGGCTACCGCCCAGCTCCGCGAAAGCGACGGGCAATTGGTAGCACGCGCGGAGCAGCGCGAGGAATTGACCGTGGATGCCCCAGCGCGAGAGGATCTCACAGGGCCGCGCGTGGTTGAGACTGGGGAAGGCCGCCGCGATGCCCATGCTGGCAAAGCAGGGCATGAACGCGCCAGCCTGCTCGGAGATGCTCATTTGCCGTGCGATGGAGTCGACCGTGATGATGTTGTTCAAAGGCTGCCTGCCGTTGGCGAAGCCTTGCTGCTCTTCCGCGGCATCTGCTGCGACGATATGGAGCTTGCGGTTGGCGGCAGCAGTAATGATCTTCACATCGCAGCTCATCATGGCGAGCGGGCGGAGATAGTCAGGGCTTCTGGTGCACTCGCACTAGCCGAGTGGTTCGTCGACAGTGGGCAACATGGCCAGCAGCGCGCGGCTGAGGTCGCGGGGGATCGGTCCGCCAGCAGGCATGGAGGACATAAGCTCGTGGAGTACGCTGAAGCAACCTGGCGAGTGAACCCGCGCCCGATGTGGAAGTCGGTCTGGTCCTGGAGCAAAATCGCCAGCGAGCCGAGCTGCGACCTCTAGATCAGCGGCGTCAGGTAGAGGAGCCCTCTTTGGTTGCTGAAGGAAGATTCAATCAAGATATGTTTGCATGCTGGGGATGTCCACGTGTTTGGCAGAGAAGATCTTGCTCCAGTGGCTCTGGATAGCGCTGGGAATGCTCATCCTGTCTGTGACGACGCGATTGGAATTGCCTTCGGAGATGCGGATGCCCGCCAGAACAAGCCTCTTGGATAACGGCTTCCACAGTTCTACGCGTTGGCCTGCTTGCCGGGGGCGACGCCGTCGCTCGTCGGGGGCGACGCCGCCACTTGTCGCCAACCTGCATGTTCGATCTGCTCTGCGAAGGCGGCGCGCGAGCGGGCAGCAGCTTCTTGGCGGCGACGATTGGCAATGGCAAAGTGAGTTTTGCCGGATTCGGTCGCGAAGGAGTCATGGTCTGCGATGCTGACCTTGTTGCAATTACTATGGATATGTCGGGGGCCCGCGTTGGCGTCGTGCTTGAGGAGGGGCGCAAGCTTCAGGCCCTGGTACCA